AAAACCAGGGATGACTCCTCTTTTCTGTGTAAATTTCAGTTCCATGTGTCTGTAACCAAAAAAAAAGTGCATACATATTTACATATGGAATATTATTTCAGAGCTGAGTTCTGTCAACAGTAAAACAGACATATTTCCTGGTCATGAAATTTCTTAGCAGCAAAGCAGGATTTAAGAGATATTGGCATGCTTAATGAGGGGTAGATAATTGCTAGATGGAATACTGTGGGTAAAGGTGAAGAAGCTGTAAATGGTGGTATGGCAGTCAGGTGAATATTAATCCATCAGATATGTGGCTGGTTTTGATAAGTAGGCTCAGCATTTTGCCTAGCGGGTATAAAGCAGCTCATATTCAGCAGAGCTCATCTGAAAATCAGGTTCTGTCTTAGCATAAAAAAAGAATGTTAAACAGGTGAAAACGTGAAAACACTACTTTCTGAATGATGTGCCTTGTTTAAGAATGCAGAGTTCAAGAACGTGTTATAGATATATTGAGTTAGAGAGTGCAGATTGAAGATGTCTTGACAAATATCTTACCAATGCATTTTCTGATTTTCAGAGATGTGAATGCCAGTTAATTCACCATTCTGGAAGGACAACAGAGCGTTAGATTCATAAGAATGCTAACCACAGAAACTGGCTGAAGATAGAGAGGAAGCGAGGAGATGCCCGAGCAGCTGATTAGGTTGGTAACTTCTCTTTACCAAAATCTTGAGGACTGAACTTCTTACTAGCAGTATCTACTTTTCTTTATCTGTGAAAAACAGGACGTCAGTTTTCAAAATGAAGATCTACTCGCTTCAAAACGAGGACCTGAGGCCGTGAGCTCATATTCTCCTCTCCCTTTCTTCTTCTTTTTATTCTGCTACACCCTAATCTTCTCTGATCTTCTAACAAATCGCCATTGGCACAAAACTCTTACAAAAAAAAACTAAAAAAAACCAACAATCTAGCTCTGTCACAACTAGTTTCTGCATACTGTGTAAAGGGAGATCTTAACTAGTCTTTGTGGATACAGGCGCTGTCAACCACCTGGTGTGGATCTATCTAGCAAGCATAATTTTTCAAGAAACTCTGTCAATACAGCTTCCAAAGGGCCAAAGGTGACATGGACTTGACTCAAGTCTTAAATGATTGACTAAAATCTTCTCTGAAACAATGACTGTCACAGCCTGAGTTTCAGACCTGTGTAAGAAGTGTGTGCAGAACTGGTGAGAGCTGTGAACTTTACAAAACAAACAAAAATGCGGCTGAGTCAGGAGCTGCATTTTAGGAATAACTTGCTCTGTTTTGACTGTTATCTTCCTGATGCCTCCTGAGGTCACTTGAATGGATTTAAAAATAATTCAGATAAGTGGATTTTAAGATACCTTAAACAAATATTGACCTTTTAAGCAAAAGGGCTATTTGAAGCTTACCTATGTAAGAGCTTCTATTTTGCTAGAATATTTATCCATTTTAAAAGACAAGCTTTAGTAATCTCAGAACAAATTAACAGCAAGAAGTCACTGGTAAGTATGTAAAAGATGAGTTGCTTCAATTTCAAAGCTACAGCTCCTATAATGATTAATAACATATATCTTGATATTGTATTTATGAAATATGAATGCATGCATGTTGTGCTGTTGCATTCCCAAATAACACATTCTTTTCATCTCATTTTTGCCTCCAAGAGATCTTGCAAGGGGAAAAGGCATAAGAAAAACATGCACGCTTATTGTGCTCCAATTGATACATCATATTGTACACGACACTGGTAGATTGCCCAGATTAACAGATGCAAGTTCTCCTTTTGGGAGACCGACATGACAAATCTATCCAAACATGATGCCAAAAGTCATGTGTGGAATTTGAATGAGAACTGCAGCATAAAGAAAAAAAAAAATCTTTTTAGGATGATTTATCCAGCAGTAACTTAAGACCTTGAGGTGAGAATGCATCTATATGCCTCTATGTTTGGAAAACAGTTCTAATGCTTTTTTTTTTTTAATTAAAAAAAAAAAAAGGTATTCATACTATGCTATTGACATATTTAAAAATGACTTGCAACAGATTTTTGTAAAGAAACTTCTAATGGTTCAATATCACACACGAATTAAGTAGTTTTAGCAAGCTCTTTAGACACACACTGTTGATGCCTAACCAAATGAAAGTTGGTATCTTCAACAGATTCTGTTTACACATATTTGCACATATATATACATATACACACATATGCTTACATATACATGTACCTATGCAACTAACCAGCTTTGCCTTTCTGAAGGAGATGCCCTCCGAAGGAGATCAACTGCTATGACTTCTAAAGAGCAAACAGACACCACAGCTGCAAGGAAAGTACAGAGATCCTGCCAAGCTTCAATTCTTGCCCTATTGGGAAGGGGGAAGAAGAGCCACAAAAACAACTGGAGCACATTCAGCAAGCAGGTATAATTCTAAGTTCATAAACCCCTAGGATAAATTCTCACCATCAGCAGCAGATCCAAAAGCTCTAGTGAGGAAGGTCTGCTAATGGCCATGTACTACGGACAACAGGGACTGTTTGCCTGAGTGAACAGTCTGCATCACTTGTGGAGCTGGGCCCTCCGAGGTGAGCAAAGGATATTCCGGTGCCATGTTTTGGTCTTGATCACAACCCATTGCTCCTCAACATTGCTCCCTTTAGAGGTCCATCTCTTGCAGAGAACTGCATTCCTTGCAAAACTGCTCAACTGGAATTCAGCTGGGAAGCTTTCAAACACAGCAAAGAGGGCTGCAGCGCACAGGGCACATCGTAAGCCCGCTCTAGTTTCAAAGCCCTAGCAGGTTTCTCAGGCCAGGGCAGCTATTAACTTTAGGCCACAAATTATCAGAAATTGAACTCACATTTTGATCCTTAGGCTGGGGAATGTGTGTGCCAGGACGATACCGCATCCTTATTTTAAAATATATTTTCTGTTCTATAGTGAATATTTAACATCCTGATTTCTGACTATGAAGTCACTTCTTGGCAGAATCTCCCATGTTCGGTAGAAACAAAATCCAGTAAAAAATGCCAAAAGAGATCAAGTTTTTCACCATTTATGTAATGTATCCATTGAAATGGAGACCCGTGACATGGTCCGAGTTATATACGTTTCATAACCCCAGGGGACTTTCAGGCCATCAAAATTTCATTAGCCTCACAGCAGTCCCAGTACCTTCTTAAGTTGGACTGCTGGCCTCCGTATCAATAAATAAATCAACTGTAATCCTTTTTAGTGACTAAACTCTTCTTTCAAGTTGTATCTAAAACATCAGACGCTCTCCTTACAGAAATTCAACCAGTGCAAAATGCCTTTTCGGATGTATTTGCAGTTTTCTCACACGTTAAAAATAAAACATTCCTCACAGAGGGAATTTTGGCATATTGTAACCAGACATTTGCTATTTTTAAAAATCTAACATTCATTTAAAGTATGTAGCTAAAGCATTATATTTCTGAAGCAGTCATATCCCTTGGTAATGTAAAGCTTCCTTAGACAGCTGGATCTTTACATGTCTTTTTAAAGACCATTAACCTAGGGCTCCACACAGCACTTGCGGGAGCCTGCTTCAGCACAGGCCTTTCAGAAGGAAAATTGCAGGGCCGCCCAGCAACTTGTTCTAGATCATTTGCAGCACAGAGATCACGACTCATCCAACACAATCTCTGCTTCCAAAAAGAGACCGTCAAATACAACTACCCTCCTCTGCCAAAACTTCCCTCTGCCTTATAATGTTTCGTTTTCTTTCCCCCAAATACGAGGCAAGAGTGTTCCTGGAGTCTCCCTCTGGCATTAATCCCAAGGTGTCTTCAGTGGGAAGCAGCCGCCAGGGAAAGGCAGTAGGTATCAGTAATGCCAAAATATAGCTTTGGTTTGGTCTTGTCAAACTTAAAGTAAAATAACTAATAGGCAGGGTAACACATTCCTACTTCTATTTTAAAATAACAATTACTTAAAAAAAAACTACACACCCACATTGCCCTTTGCCACAATGCGATACAGCTGTACCCAGAGGATAGTAATAAAATTCCCTTTGCTACTGTATAGCTGACAGGTTTAGTAAATTAATAAAAATGAAGTGCAGACATCTAGCAATAGACATCGCTCTAATTTTCATTTTTACCCTTTTTTCTTCATTCCTCTTCTGAATTTCTTACATGCAATGTCATAAAGTTAACAAAATAATCATATTCTAATTCTAACAAGGCTGAAAATCCTCTGCAAATGTAAAGAAGTTAAAGATCAAATGTTTTCCAAGCTCCATGTGCTTAGCATTTAACACCATGTCAGGTTCAATTCACAACCTCAAGTTGGGGTAAGAAATTTTGAAAAGCTTTAAAAATAAATCAGGCAATTGTATTAGCCTCTTTTCATTTAAGACTAAGCCCTAAATACAATGGTCATATCCCCACATCCTACGAAGTTGCTGTTCAGATTTCTTGTGGATTTTAATTGCACAGTAATCCAGTCCCCCAGGCACATCAAAGGACACACTTCCCTCTTTACCACAATTTCAATTGCTCTCATCAACCAGTAAGTTTAAAGCATGATCAAATTTGTTTTTCAGTCACTTGAGCCTTGTTAATAATCTATTCTTCGTGCTCACTCATCCATTCTCAGATTCCGCAACTTCTCTGAGATGTCTTAAAGAGGAATTTACAAAGACATCTTTGATTGCTGGCTGGCCTTGGGGATAAACTCTATCGCCACTTACTCTTCTATCCCACAAAAGGAGAACAGGTGACATGGCCCTTGACAACTCGGAGCTAATCTTTCTTTTTTGTCATTAAACTTCTTCAAAATTACACACCAAAAGCTTGCATATTTCAGGACGGATATTGCATATTGACTTTCCTGGGCGCAAGGGACAAAATAAGGAGGCACGTAATCCAAGGTCATTCCTTGAATTTCCAGTAATTTGAAGTTATGGGATGTCACACAGGAGAGCATTTCAAACCGGGATGTACACATACGGACACGCGTTTGGGAACTCACCATTCTCACTGTCGGACTTGTTCTCGTGCTCGGTGTCGGTGAGAGTGAGGGCCGAGTTGGAGCGGCTGGAGAGGCAGGAGCTGCGGCCCGACTTGGCGCCGCGGCCCCAGAGGCGCATGGCGTGCTCGGGAGACATCACGCCCTCGTTCTCCGTGTCGGCGTCCGAGCCCGCGCTCATGGAGTAGCCTCGGTGCGGGAGCCCCATCTCCGCGCAGAACGCCAGGCCTCGACGAGCTGCCGGCTCACACACTCCTAGCTGCCTTAGGGTAAAATTCTGTCCTGGTTGGGGAAAAGACAGAAGAAAATAAAAAAGATAAGGTGAGGATTTTGTTTATTGTTTTGCTCTGGAAGAAGCTAAAAACAAAGATCTCTTCATTTGTATATGTAACTGGCTGGGGCCTCACGCGGGGCGTGCTGCGAGGGCTCCCCACGCCTCGCTAGGATCAAGGATCACGCCTCGCTGGCCTCCCGCTCTTGGTGGAGCCCCTTCTCCTTCTTCCCACCTTGCTGCCATTTCGGCAACTGCTGAAACACATCAAAAGGCCTCTCAGGTAGGAAAGAGACTTAACAGAGCCTGTAAACTAAGGACAGCCAATTCAGCACACGAAAGGATTAAAAAATAAATGACTTTTTTATTTTTCAACAGCGTGAAAGCAGTAACAAAGTATTTGTCAGGATTATCTCTTTTTGTTCTGGCTAGAGGCCAAAGCAACAGGATATTTTCCCATCCAGATGTCACCTACTGTGGCAAGGGAAAAACATTGGTAGGAAGGGAGCTCAACTGAGCTTTCTGCCCCATTTTAATGCAAGGATATAAATGAACAGGAATGTTTCCAAACTCTAACTGCAAGATTATGGTCAGGTGCCATTTTTCCCCTCTCCTGGTATTTTGGGAAACATTTTAGGCTTTTACTGCTGAAGCAAAGTGTGTATATTTTAAACAGATTTCTAGCCTCTGTTTTGGGGCAGAGCAAGAGACCTAAGTGAATCCCAAATGATTGTATTAATAAATTAGGTGCAATAAACCTGTGACACTTCAATAACTTAAAGTGTCTAAATTATGTGACACTCAAAAATTACTGCCTTTATAATGGCTATGTCTTCATCCTGCTTTTATGTCCACAAATTTAAGACACTGTATGATATACAGACAGTTGGCATGTTCATTTGCATGCCTATATCCCTAATGCTTTTCCATCCCAACTCGCCCCTATTTCATAGCTCTGGCAGCAAATTAGAGCAGGTATTCATTTTGTTAGCTACACACTGACAGGACCCCTAATTTCTCTCTAATTACATATTTGCTTAACAAAAATACATGTTGATATGATCCTTAAAACTTATAGAGCAACAAGAAGAGACTCCTATTAATTAGAAAGTAAAAGAACTAGACATGTGAATACGGAAGTGTAAATAATTCCTGAAATATTAAGAATTAATGCTGTAGCCATTGACTAGTTTTTAGTGAGCCAGTTAATTGCTTTATTGCTGTGGTCTCATGTAGTTACCACGGTAGTTTCTTCTCTGCTGGAGCTGAGAATGGATTCTGACGATGACTTCCATGAATAATGAAGAAGTTACTATAATTAGGTATGGAATCAAACTATATTCATTAACTGTGAACAAGTATCTGAACTAAGGATGCATCTGGGGAGGTAAACACAAAAGCAGTAAATATCTAGGACAATGACTGAACTGAGTGAAGGTTGTAAGGAGAGTGGAGGAGCGTCCTGCACGCCGACAGCAGCTTGCCATTTAAAAGAGATCCTGTCACATCGCACAACTTCGCATGTTTTGTGACATTGAAACTAATGAGAAGCAGGCATGCCAAAAAAAACCCCGTGGGAGCAGGCCTGGCTGTCTTGCCTTTATATGTGCCGGTATACATTACACACAACAGCTAAAGTGTACATACAAGTGCACGTGCAGCGTTGTATCCGTCCCAGGAAGCCTAAGGGTGCTCTGGGAAGCCAGGCGGAGAGGAAAGAGGCATTTTGGACGACAGCCACTTGAGTCTGCAACAGAACTGCCATTGACTGCAATGCTGCCAGGTGAAGAGGTCGTGCCTAGGGTTTCCGTAACCTTATCCTGCCTGTGGAGCCTCAGGTGCAGGGCACACGCAGAGGGCCCGGGACACTCGAGCCCCTGCAGCTCTAACTATAGCTTGTGGGGGCAGCCCGCAGGCACTCGGGCAGCCCTGCAAGGCGGCAGGGACGGGGCTCCCCACGTCGAACACCCGCGCGGAGCACCCTTGGCACCCCGAGCCCCTTGTGGAGCTGGAGCCACCTGTGCAGACACGTTGATTCACGTTGGTTTTATATTTTTTCACACATTGGTTTTATTTTTTCACTCCAAGTTTCCAGGGGGGTGTACCCATGTCAAGTATTTTTGGCTTTCTGCTTTGCTCCTCTTACAAGCGCTAAGAAAAGCAAAACAGGATGAGGATGGACCAGACCAAAGCTCCCTTGCAACTCTGAAGCCAGAGAAGGTGGTTTGTATATTGCTCTCACATCCAACACATTACATCTTTTTCACTACATTGAGAAGAGAACAGCATATCCCAGAAGTGCTGCAACAGCTTTACAAACAGCAGGGCTCAGTCGTCCCCTGAATTAAAGCGCTCTCAAAAGCTTTACTAAGAGGATTGTCCTCCATGCAAGTTGCCTACACAGATAAAAACCAAGAAGTTGGGATGGAAAATATGTGCTTGACTGAGAATTAATATCCCGAAGGAAAATGCACAAGTATGATATAAAATATCAACAGCATCTTAAGATTCCTGAACAATGAGAAGAGAAAGCCTTTATGCATCTGGAGTAAGATGAACACGGCCTAAGCACAGAGGCAACAGCAGCAGAACGGAAATGGGGACTTTCACCTGCCTGAGGAACGTAAAAATCTCTCCCCCGTTTTTTTAAGCTTGGAAAGGACATTTGTAAGTGCTCCAGGGAAAAAGAGCATTGAGAAGATGCTCCTCCTCGTGTCTTCTTGCAGTTGCTAATTAGCTTTTCCAGAATTACTTCAGTGTGAGGGATTTAAGCATCAGTTTCTATACTACATACACACTTGCAATTTTCCCCACTGACGTTAGATGCCTCAGCACTTCATAAAGACTTTAAGAATAACTTGGAGACTGTAATGAAATAATTTCAGAGAAGGAAATATAGTGAATATTGAGATTGGGAAAATGCTTTTCTTTTTTCTTTCTTTTTTTTTTTTTTAATTAATCTTTCCTTAACAGAAAGAAAAAAAACTGTACAATGGGAAAAAACCCAACATTTCAAGGAGACCTGTTTTAGAGGTAACTTTAGGGTTCTGGGATCATTTGGGATGATATATCATGAAGTTAGGTTTTAAAACCTGACAATAATGCCGTTACTACTACTCCATTATTAGATATTGCACTTCTCTTGGCTAAGCATATCAATTTATGGTTAGTATAAGGAATGCTGACACTATCCATTTGTCCAGGCAAGAAGGAAATTAAGGCAACAACACTAAAATAACTTCCAAGAGCCTGCACAATCACCGTTAAAAATACAGCATTTGCCAACAGTTACCACAGGCACCTCCCTGAGAAACTGCAACTACTTTCTGTTTGAGCAGTGGTCCACATAGACTCCTATGCTCCTGAATTCACTGGTTAAATCTATACAATCTATATGAAAAAAGAAGGGTACCTTCTTTTTCTTTTAATCAATAATTTCTCAATGATGGCTGCACTGGTTAAGTCATCAGCATTTCCAGACAAACATAATTAAATTAACAAAGCTGCATACCCAGGACTTGCTATAGAAGCAGGAATGCAGTAAATTAGGTATAATTTGAGAAAGTCAGAATTTACCTCTGAAACTAAGTCGGAACTTACAATACTTCATGTATTCCCTTGGCTTAAACTAGAGAAGATAACTCAAAGACAGCCACAGTAACTCAAGCTTCCAGTCAGAAACGTTATCTGTGGAAAAGGGGTTTTGAAGCGAGCTGCACAATAAAAGAAATTCCCATGGTTTTTCAATTGTCAGTCCTTGCTCTAATTCAAATCTGTAATACATACGCTTACAGAGATATTCCGCACCACTGTCTTTAGCAATTCGCTCACCACTGAGGATTCCACAAAGTGAGGTTTCAGTAACTCTAAACTATTCTGGAATGGGGAGGGGAAAAAAAAAAAAGTACTTCCAAACTGAAGAGCCTTCTAAGCACCTGCCTAATTAAGATAAAAAACAAACGCACACATTTAAACTTTGAAACTAGGCAACTTACAGTTTCAGTGCCTTTGCTAACTTTGGTTTTGGCATAATTGGATAGAGGTAATGCCAAAAGGCATCAAAATACCAAGCCCTACTCAGGTTAATACAAAAAAAAAAAAAAAAAAAAAAAATCAAAACCAAAACCAAAGCCAAAACCCAACTCTTCTTTATAATTTCTGATCATTTTTTATTCCATTTTTGGTTTCTCTGCCTCTCTCAATACTTCCTAGTCCCCTTCCCAATCTCAGGCTTTGCAATATTCCTCCTTCCGTACCTTGCTTTCTCTCATTTCCCTGTAACACAATGGCCTTCATGTCATTCAGAGAAATCACTTCTCAAACACATATTCCCTATAATCACTCTGTGATAACCCATCACAGAAAAGTACTTATAGTAAATTTAGGCAAATAAATTGTGAAATAACTAGAGCAAGAGAGATAGTAATGCAAAACATCATCATGGTCCTCAGAAGAAACAATTTCCTTGTCCCTATTTTCTCCCTTACTTTTCCTTGTTTTCCTATTTACCCTGTTTATTTCAAAGGCAAATAAAGACACATAATTTTCTCAGTTTTTTCGAGGCTGTAAAGCAATGCATTCGACCATGTCCTCACAACACAACACTTAGGAGGCTGTCCCTGTAACACGTGGCATAAGCAGCAGCGATGCCAAAGCACTACCGCACCAACCATGCTGCATTTTGCTATTTTGATGTGTGAAATCTACTTTTTTTTGTACCTGTGTTTATAGTAAATGCCCTAATACATAAAGTGAGCACATTTTCCTATGCCAGTCTCCTTACCTGGCGCTCATTTTCTCTCTGAATCCTTTCTGCAGGGGTGAGGCCAGTGCACAGCACTGTACTGAGACACCGCCACGACTCGCTGCTCAGAGACCTTCTACGGCTGCAGACGGAGAGCTGAGCACCACCGAGCTGATCCTGCAGCAACCCTGGCTGCGCAGCTCACACGTATGACGAGAACGGAGGAGTAGCTCTGTTAACAGAGCACTGTTGACCAAATCATAAAGA